GAAGTGTTCAAGGCCAGGTTGGATGGAGCTTTGGGCAACGTGGTCTAGTGGAGGGTGTCCCTACCCATGGGGCTGGAAGACCTTTGAGGGCCCTTCCAATCCAAACCATTCTATGATATGCATAATCTTTCTCTCTCAACTGGTACAAACAAAAGCCACTTGTTGATAAGTATAGCAACAACATCGTCATATGAATGTCTAATTAATGTCACTGAGTCTTGGCTTCAGCTTTGGTAAGTGCAATGTGAGAATTCAGCTTTTGAATATCATAGTTAAGATATGAGACTGTTCTATACCCATATTGCACTGTATAAGAGTTAAGCTCTGTCTAAATTCATACGTCCCCCCCTGTTCCTTATTGTAGGCCTATATATGCAGATACATATTCTTTGCATGTTCTAGGCACCTCATTTTATCAGGCTTACCTGAGAGCTAACATATTGCTGCTTCTCCTTCACAGAATCTGATATTGATGCTGCTACTGCAATGATGCTGTTAAATACTTCCATTCAACAAGGGATGTTGGACTGTAAGCATAAGCCATTTTACTCTGTTTTTCTTGTCTACCCAGTAGCTAAATGTTTTCTCTATAAAGTTTCAGGAAACGGGTATGGTCTAGTTTCCAAATAGTAAGAGCAGTCAAGAAGCAAATTCTGGTTTGATTATTCTTTCTGTAGCATCACAGAGTTTTAAAGAACCACCTTCTCTTTTTTTTTTTTTTCCCCCCAGTTAATTTTGTTTTTTCTGCAAAGTTCTTCCCCTACCCTCTTATGCTAGATGGTAAGAAGAGTTTCTTAGTTACTTCTCCGTTTCTCCAGCTCTTAGTTGTGATTAGCTGAAGACCATTGTCCTCTGTGGATGACAGTAAATGTGCACAGGATAGCTGAATGTGAGCATTGAAGAGTTGTACTTTGCAGTCAGCCAGCCGTAGTGTGCTCGTTTTGCAGGTGATGTCATTGGAGTATTTGCTTACTGATGCATCTTGTTTTTAATAGGTGAGAAACCTCAGCCTCTGAAGGCACCTAAGAAGAGGAGTTATGGCAGTGCATTCAATCCTCCCAGTTCCATAAATTTGCAAGAAAACGATTCTGCAGCCACCAATATTGATCCGAAGGAGGATCACAACTACAGTGCCAGCAGCATGGGTTCCCAGCGCTGTGCATCTAGGTCCAGCGTGTCTTCCTTGTCCTCTCTTGACGAGGTGTATGAATTTATCTCCAAGACCAGCCATGATGGAAGCGATGGCAGTGAAGGATTTCACAGCGAAGTGGATACAGACGTTGACTATGAAGATGATCCTCTTGGAGACAGTGGCTATGCATCACAACCTTGTGTAGATACCTCTGAGGAAAGTCAGCCTAGCAACAAAGCACTCAAGGAGTTATGTCAAGAAATCGATGAGGAGTTGAAAGAAGCAGCGGGGTCTCTGCTCCACCTTGCTGGCATCCAAACATGCTTGAGTTCCTTAATAAGTACTGCAAAGACCCACTGTCATAAGCAAAGGAAAAAATAGTATGTTTGTCAGTGTTGAATATATACATATATTTTTTTTAATTGTGGCAATACTCTTCTACTTTTACCCTTCACAAGGGAGATCTAAGCCATAAGAGGACTCATTGCTTTTTTATTTTTGGCGCTAACTATAATTTAGCCATTTATTTTTAAATCACTGCCTAAAAAGAAAAAAAAATATTTAATCTTCTCAAATTAGAAGAGATGCATGACTTGTGAAAACCTGAAAGCATACTTCTTAATGATTGCTTTTTTTTTCTTTTTAATAGTTGATTAATTCCCCCCCCCACACACCCCCAGAGATATGTTTGTTCAGATGCACATTGTGGATCATATTTACACCTCTGCTGGCCCCATCTGGAGAGGTGAATTTTGCCCTAAGGGCTCTGACTTCCATGTAAAGGATTAAAAAGGAGAAAAAAAGAAAGAAAGGGGGGGAAAAAAAAGGGTTCTGGCCTTGGTTGCCTCCTCCCACTTGTCCTCTCTTCACTCTTCTGAGACAGGTCCCGTGGAAACTCTGGAGAAGCAGCTCCGAGTGGCTGCAGTTCCTCAGCCCATCTGACACAGCAGCTGAAAACCTGTAGCACGTCAGGAGCTGCTTTCAGTGAGATGCTAAGTACCCCCTGGGAGAGTAGGGATGAGGGGTAGCTGAGGTGGGTACCACCCCCAGTTTTCTTTAACTCCTTCCCCAAATCTGCTCTGTGCAGGTCAGATTCCTGAAGGAAAACAGTTAGGGTTTTTTTTTAATTTTAAGACAAATTGTCTTTTCTTGGGGGGGTGTGTGTGCATACATGCACCTTGCATGTAGCCAACAGTGAAAGCCGCCACTTGCCAAGTTCAATGTTGTCCTTGTGTTACCACCACTATTGAATACGTAGTAGCTGTGCAGTCCTGCGATGTCTACCCTTCTGTTCCCCTATACCGATTTGGGGGGGAAAAAAAGAACCCCACAGTTGATGGTGGTGACAACATGGACGAGGTGGAGGCTTTAGGTGGCCTAGGTGGTGAACAGCTTCTGAGAAGGGAACAGTTTACCCCCTAATCTGAGACAAACTAGAATAGCTTCCTTTTGGATCAGTGAACCCTGAATTGCTTTTGGGGTTTTTGCCCCTTTCCCCCAGCGCTCGTTGTTCGTGTCAGATGGGTGTCCGTACCTTTTGTTTCCCAGATCACTGTGCCTTGTGCTGTGCGAGTCCTGTCGGCCTCCTGCCGCAAACGGGGCATCTAACGGGCAAGGCAAGGCTTTAGCCTTTGGATGTACGTCATAGCTCAGGAGGACCCCTCTGTTATGGGAAGAAATTCCTTCATAATTCATTTTTGCAATAAAAGAATCTCTTTATAGTTCCCAGACATCCTTCTGCCAAAAATGCTTTAGTGGTATGGTGAACTTTTTTCTTTTTTTTTTTTTTCCCTTCTTAAAATCAGTGGTTATTGCTTACATCTTCTTGTAGATGTAGGCTTTTTTTTCTTTAAGTTTTCTGTTCAAAAATGGGTAAGCAGTTCTGTTGGAGTGGGTTTTAACAGTACTGCAAGCATTAGGATGCCTTAAGTATGTTGCAGAATCATATACAACTATCAAAGGTCATCTTTCCTGTTAGCAAAAGGTAGCGTGATGTGCCATAAACGTTCTCCCTAACATGTGAAGCTATTGCTTCCAGCAGGTGTTGGGCAAGCTGGTTGAAAATTAGGAGCAGAGCCACCTAGGAAACCAATGTCCACTGTTTTGGTAGCTGAAAACAGTGTTGGATTCAGCCAAAAGTTAACCTTTCCCTAACGGGGTATTTTTTCTGGCTATTTGGAGGCCTTTCTTAGATCAGTGTGTTTTGTTTTGGTGGATTTTTTTTTTTCCTTATTTGTCAGTCTCTTCATGAATACTGCCATAAACTGTCTACTTTAACTATGAACACAGCCATGCTGCTGAAGGTCTGTTGCTCTGAGGGCCTGTTCCAGTGCCTCTTGAAGACAACGGTGGTGCTCCCGCTGACTCAATGGCTGTTGGATCAAGCCTGAAATATTTGAGGTTCTTTGTGTTTTGGAATTTAAAGCCAATATTAATTTTGTTTTTAAAGCACAAACACTAGGAGGAAAAAAAAAAAGTTGTGGGGTTTGTTGGGTTTTTTTTCCCCTCCAGTTACTTCAGTTTTAAGAATGATTTGGTTTATTTATTGAAAGGGAAGAAAAATACTCTGCTGCATTCCTACTTTGTGTGAACACCTGTTAGTCTACACCCGTAACAGAGCAACGTGCGTGCAGATGTGTATGTCTTCTGGGTATCACAAGTGGTGCATTAGCCGATTAGATCTGATATCGGATGTGTTACTGATGGATAGTAGGGGTAAAACTCGCTATTTAAAGGAAAATTAAGTACCAACGCAGTGGTTCTTAGGATTTTGGGATTTGGAGATGTGAATGCTTGGTGGAACTGCTTTTTGCTCATGGGTTGCTTTTGTACCTTGATGGAAAACTGCAAAGGGCAGAGTTTGTGTCAATGTGAAAATTGAGGATTCAGCTAGAGAGAAATATTGTTAGCAGTCTGGGATTTTGCTCGGTGCCGTGACTTCAGCTGCACGCTGTTGAAGAGGGCCTGGCTCCCGCTGAAGGTGGTTGCAGCTTTTCTGTAGCTTCCAGTGTAAGCTGGATCAAGGTCCAAGTATTCTCGAAACTGCCGTCATTGTTGGCTCTGTGGTTGTTTGGTTCTGAATTATTTTTTGTTGCCTCGGATAAAATTTGAGAAGGTTAATACTTACTAGGAGTGTGGCTGTGCCGCTGTTTACCCTGAAGTTGGCGATAATGACGTCAGCATTTCTGAAGGGATGAGGTTGGGATGCTAACAGCACGTTGAATTACCACATGCAACGAACAATAAAACCGGACTGATTGGAAGTTAACGGTGAAAGCTGCATCCACGCATACAGCTTTCAGCCTGGGAGAACTGGAATTGTGCAAGGGCGGAGGCAATTGCAGCCTTTCCTCAGGACACAGGTGGACCTATTCCACCACGCTGTCCCACGCCTCTGCCTCGCGTTTTGGCAGGCGAAGGCTGCCAGCTCGGTTGCAGAGCATTGCTCTTGGTAGAGGGAGAACAGTTGCCCTTCCTTTCGCTTATGTACCTAGCATTGGGTTTGGGTTTGTTTGCCACCTCAGTTAGAGATCCTGGTGTATATAGTATAAATGGAGTATAATTAAAAGTTATTTTGATTGTTGGGTTTGGGGGTTGGTTTTTTTTTAGTGACATATGTAAAATGTTCATGCCAATGGTTGACTCGGATATATTTTGGCAAGAAAAGTATTAACGAACCACATTCAGTTCTTTAAATACAGTGAAGAAGTGTATGAGACTCACGTACAAAGGAGGGTGCTCTGTTCAGGATCAATCTGATGAGAATACTGTACGAACCTGTACTGGCCTTTCAGATGCCAGTACTGAAACTGCTTTTGCAAAAGTCACATCAAACGTTTTAAAATCTGACTGTAAAATGGAAGTTGTATCCTTCACAAATTTTCTTCAGCCTGAGAAGTACAAGCTTTGGTTAAAGCAGCGTATGCTCATACACGTTAATAATGGTGTAGCCAAAATATTTATTGAAAAGAAAAGGTAGAATATTTTAAATGTTGCACCTGCCATTATATCTTAAAGCACATTCTTCACACCTAACTGCCAGTGCCATTATCAAGTCTTTTATAAATGTACATTTCTTCAAACTAAAAAGTGCATAATTAAAAGTATTATGTTACTGCCATATAGTGATATAAAACATTTTATAATTGCCAATTCATTGTAACTATTATTTATTTAAAAGTGAATTGTAAGATTGCTTTCTGATCAAATGAACCAGAGTTGTTTTTTAAACTGTTCCCGTTAGCTTGTTTCTAATGTAGCATAAGCAATGTCCTTGGGTTTGTTTAGAATAATTTTGCCAGTAGGTGACCAGTTCTAACCCTTTTTCCTCCAGTTTAGTCCTTTACCTGTTTTAAAGACAATTTACAGAAGTTTAGTTTTTTGTATGCTAATCTCTGTTAATTAAAATGTTTATAAAGTTTATTTTTACCAAAGAGATGCAATTCACTATGACAAAATATTGCAGAATAAACTTTGTTTTATAACATTTGTGACTTTTTCTGCCCACATTTTTCATTCAGATTATCAAAGGGGCTTTTCTAAAATAAACAGCATTGCAAACAGAAAGCGCTGTGTTCTCTCTTTATCTACAGACCCTGGTCTCAGACAGTGCTCCCGGTCCCCTACCTTGCCATGTAAATCTCTTCTGCCGGACCGGGCTGCTGCCAAAAGCCCAATGTGTGATTCACTGTAGGTCTCGGCTTGGTTAAGAGTGTTGGGTGCATGTGCGAGGCATCTGTACAATAACAGCAGCCCACCAATCCATCGCGGGATTTGCGTGGTCAGGTTCATCCATAGCTGGCCTGTAATGTTTGAAGAGCATCTTATTAAAGCCAAGATTTCACCCTTTAACCAGGAACTCAAGGAATGTTTTGACATCTGGGAAACTGCTGAAATACTACTGCGTACCTTTTGCCCTCCTGTGCAAAGCATTTGTTTGAACAGAAATAACTTGAATCTTTTTCTGGTAAAACATCTGTATTTACAGTTCTGTATCTGTATTGCTGCGGCCAAGTTGCTTGTGTGATACTCAAAAGATCGACAGCGTCACACAGGACAGGTAATTTAAAAGGTACGTCCCTGGACAAAGCTGCATAGATCTTATTTGGCGGGGGTTTTTCAGTGTTTTACTTTTTTTAGCTAGGAGGTATGGTGTGGAGAGCACACAGGTGGGAATGTCCCCCCCTTCACTAGCAGGAAT